TAAAATATAGATATTAATTAAGGGAAATGCTTCTTTGAACAGTCTGGTTGGGATGGGATCTAGCAGACAGGTTGATGGTTTGGATGAAGCTTTTATTTTAGATAATTCAGAGCTCAACAGGACAAAAACTGTCCCAACATAAATCAGGTTCTAGTGACACTAAAGCTGCCTCATCTGACAGAGAATCAGAGACAGTAGCAGGAAGTTTGGTATGAAAGATGCCGGATAGACCTAAACATGTAGTGAGGTTTGCTGGGAACGCCTCGCAGAAGAATCCATCAGAAAGATCTTCAACTGAGACCTCCAAGAGAACTTTAACCACATCCCAGCTGTGACGGACAACATTGAATTTGTGTGGGCCAAGTTTCGTGCCTCAATTGTTGAGGCAAAAGTTTTTCATGTGATTTGTATATTTCAACAACATGTGAACAGTTACATTCAAAATGACAGGTAAATGATGGTTTATAACCATTAGTAGCACAAAGCACAGTCTCCTGTCTGTCAGAAGCAGATTATTGTCAAGTTTCCTTCTGCTGTCAAATATTAGATTACAGTTATTCTGTGCGCAAGTAAAACATTTTATAGTTAAACTTTACTTTTAGTTAAGTCTTTGGAGAGTAACACTCTTATGATGACACTCAGGCTTCAGTCCTCTGACATTTAAGCTTTCATTGTAAATTCCTAACAGGGTTCTTTGGGATGTGGAATTTTGGACGGTCAGGCAAACAGTCCGGACCTCAGTCTAAGAAGGTCCTGGACATTCCCAATCTGAGGACACTGGAGTTGACGGGAGATCTGATTGGTCACTCAGGAGGAGTCCAGGTATGAGTTTGTGTCATTATTATTGCCAGCATGTAATCTTGTATTTGCCTGTGTCTGTGTGTTTGTGTTTGTCTGTCATCAAAATATCTCATAAACAATGGCCAGAATTTTTTTTTTGGAAACTCAGCGGATGTACAACTACAACTAAGTCAGCTCAATTCAAGATGGCTGCCGCAGTCAAACAACTTTATCAGACACAAAGAGGCTGACTCAGCCACCCATCATCTTTTGCTTGCTTCTTCTTTTCAGGGTCACAAGGGTCATTGGTGCCCATATCCAGCAGTCACAGTGGGAGGGGTGGGGTACACCCTGGACAGGTCTCCAGTCCATCACAGGGACACACGTAGAGAGCACCCATTCATGTCTCACTAATACCTGGTCTGTGAGAGGATCTGGAGAAAACCCATGCATACATAGAGACAACACGCTAACTGAACCCAGAAATGTCCCCAACCGTCTCACTGAAAAGCAACAGCTCTTCCAACATAACCACAAAACAATCCCTGACTCAGCCAGTTTTACAGATACTGTCCTCGACTCTGTTGTGGTGGGAGCTGAAATTCATCCTCAACCCACAGTTAGTGAAACATCTCATGACCCACTGGATGAATTTTAATAAATCTTTCAGAAACCAATCATTTGGTGTACATCTGCAACTAACTAACCCTTGAACCCAACCCAATTCAAAATGGCTGAGATTTATACAAACACACACTTTGAGCTTCAAACATTGTGTGTATCTGCTTAAATTCTTGGCTTCAACTGTTTAAATTAACTCTGTTGTTCTATTATTAGCAAACATTTTACCATTGAATGGATTTAATGAAATCATCAGAATGTAATTACTTTTTTTTGCTAAATACAAACCTGACCCAGCCAGTTTTAGAGATACTGAGCTGAATTTTGGTGTGGTAGTAGCTGATAGTCACTCCAAACATACTCTGAGCACTAAAGGATCATGTGATATCACAAAAAATACCTAAGACCAATATTTATCAGCATAAGATGATCTTATATTAAAACTCTCATAAAATGCAGCAGGCAACATGCATTTCATCAAAGCACCCGCTTCAGATGTTATCATCCATGAAATGGACGTTATTAGGCGTTATCAGTCCCCTAGAATGGCTTCAGAATGTCCCACCTGTGCCGCTTAGCAGGTTCCCCGTCCCATAGAATGGCTTCTGATTGTCAGCTGGTTAATATGAGGCATAAAACTACTATCTGGTTAATATGAGGTATAAAACTACTATCTGGTTAATATG